CAAATTATGACAAATGAGGACTAAATCTGCATAATAAAACATATGTAGACTGGGCTTTTTGGGGATATTTGGGACTGAAGGCTCATTCCGAGTATGTTGTACTAGTAATAATCAATCATATCAACAATTTTGATATCATTATGACGTTAGATGACATCATTAGTCTTTCATGTGATTTATTGCTTAAAACGGTTTTCTCTTAAAACTTAATGGTATACAACACAGGTTTAACAAAAATTGTTTATGATATTAAGGTCTACTTAATCATGTGTTGCCTATATCATAAAATGTTATAGAATGACGTCAGGCATATTAAAAGCTGTCCGCCATCTTGGATCCACAATATTGAATTTTTGAAAATCTTTTTCTTCAAGATAAAGCCTAAAAATACAATGGAAATAGACTAGAGATGTTTAATTTAACGTTTTCTGTAACAGAAATCGAAGTTGGAATGAAATTTTGAGAAAAATAGCTGCCGGAATTTACCTGATCTAATGATATGGTCCGCCATATCATTTAATTAGTTGAATTCCGGCTATTTTTATCTTTTTTAAATCTATTTTTCTTTTTTGGATCTTGGCCAATGAAGTCATCAAATTTGCATAAATTATGCATGATTATTGATGAAAATTACATGGAATTTAGTATATAAGATGTCATTAATATTAGAAAGCATGCGTAAATTAACATAAAAGCCCGAAAATTTAATTGTTGAAGTCAAAATTTTACAAAAATTTATAGTCTAGATTTTACAAAAAATGCCTGTCAGAAGCCCGTTGCCATGACAATACGAGAAAATATTAATTTATCTTACTGCTATAAAAATTGTTAGCAACAATATTTTATAAATGTCACCAAGTGTGGTGGCCCTAGCACAAGCCGTTTGGACATTATCCGACATCAAAGTTGGCGCGGGCACTTTTTGCCCCCCACCCCACCTCCCCTTCCCCCCAGTCTAGATAGGGTTCAAGGTAGCAGAACACAGTATTAATGAGCAACCCCTCCTGCGTGTCTATGACGCGAGTATAGAAAGTGGTGCAGAGAGCCTGGGTAGAGAGCTTGATAAGAGCGTCAGCCAGACAAGAATATCAAATTTTGTGCCACGGAAAACGCTTGAAATCTTGTACAAAGCCATGATACGTCCTTATTTGAGTACGCCAATGTTGCCTGGTGTGGTGTTCTTATGAAGGATTCAGACCTCCTTGAGTCAGTCCAGGTGTCCGCTGCCCGGGCTGCACAGGCGCAATGAGAGGGACGAATCACCACCGCATTCTATGTGACGTCGGTTGGGAAACACTTGCCAACAGACGCGAAAAGTTAAAACTTGTTCTCTTTTACAAAATGGCCAATGGCTTAGTTCCCAAATATCTACAAGACTTGGTTCCCCCACTTATCCGTGATTCCACCCCTTATGGCCTGCGAACTGACCAGAATTATCTCCCTTTCACCCTCAAAACTGAAAAGTACAAAAAATCTTTCTTGCCTTCTGCTGTTCTCTCTTGGAACAAGTTACCCCAGACCGCTAAAGAACCCCCATTCGTGCATTCAAAAATGAATTAGAGTGTTGCTGTGATAGCATGTCCAGACATCCTCACTACTCTCACGGCCACAGACACCATGTGACTCACCTTACCAGACTCAGGCTTCGTTTCAGCCAGCTGAACTACCACCTATTCCAGCATCACTGTATCAGTAGTCCCGAGTGCAAATGTGGGCATCCAAATGAGACACCAGAACACTATTTATTACACTGCCAATTTTGTAATACTGAAAGGACCAAAATGTTGCTATCCATATCTTGCCTTCATCTTGAAAACATACTTCCTTCAGACCCACTCAACGTAAACGACGCCACATTATGTACTTTATTTCTTACAGGTAGTCCCTCCCTCCCATACCCTACTAACTGCCGTATCTTTGATATTGTGTTTAACTATATCTACCACTCTGGAAGATTTGACCAATCTCAATAATGTTATGCTAGGTATTGGTGCGCCAGCCACTTTCATTTTAAGTTAATGCTATACTTTATGTCATCTTTATGTTTACATTTGTATTATGTTTTATGAGCAGCGGATTTACATAAGCACAACAAGTGCTTCCTATCCAATGCTCAAAAATCCACGTGAATAAAATAAAATAAATAAATAACAAAATGTCAACAACAGATAGATAATACATGACAGGTAATATGGACAGTCTGAGAAGAAGCAGAACAAATAGAAGATAACAGCGTACTAATTAAAAATATTTAATGGGAAAGCCTCCCATTTACGAAAATGAATATCTAATTTGTTTCTTCTCTCTGCTATCATATATTCTGTCTTGTAATATCTCTTTACATACGAAATGTAATGATTTACAACTATTTTTTTTTGTCTCTCTGTATGAAAATATAATGTTTGGCCAATAGAATTAACAAATTCTCGATTACATTACAATTTTCAGATATGTCACCTAAAATAATTGTCTGGAAGTCCAGATGTAAGGTTTTATTTACTGTTGTTTTAAACCATATTCTACATCAGTCCAAAATGTAACAACTCTCGGGCAGTCCCAGAATAAGTGCCTAATGGTCGCTACTTCCTCACAGTGTGCACAATTAGGGCTATTTAGAATTTTTTAAATGTGTAGCATTTTCTTTGTGGCTAACATTTTGTGCAACATTTTGTATTGAAAAATTCTTAGTTTCGGGCATATAGTCACGGCATAAATTAATTAAAAACCCATTTCCACGGAATAATTATATTAAATTCATCCTCCCAGTGTCTTTGTATGTTCAGTGGGTTTGTAGCACTATTTTCTGATTGCAAAAAAGATGTATAGATGATTTTGTTTATTTTAGTTGCCTTCAACCATAAGTAATTTGCTATATGAGGTAAGATAGGGCCTATTACTGGTGTATTATCTAACAGCTTTTTTTCAGTTTCGCGGTATTGCCGATAATATCTGATTTTACTCTAGCTTATCAAATGCTGTACCGAATTTAGCAAGAAGGCCATTGTAAGATAAAAACCGTCCATTAGTATCCAAAAGGTCATTAATGAAGAAGATTCCATGTTTAAGAGGTTTTTCCCATATGATAGGCGTATTTTCAATTACAATACTTGAGTTGCACCATAAGAGTTGTGATTGTATCTTTTGTAAGGTTTCGGGAGGTTAAAATTGGAAAGAAAGCCATGCTTTAAGAACATCTTTAAAAAAGGGATTAGGTGAGACAAGTAGCCTATTAAAAACATTATTCATGTGATCAGTGGATATCTTTTTACAAAGTGTATCACTCAGAGAACAAAAAGGTGACATGAAAGTTGCGCTTTCTTTCCCCAAAGACAGTTGTAAAAACGGGTACAAATGTCTACTAAATATCCCGGACGATGTATCTAAGACGGATTTACGACTTGAGTCATCCTGGGAGAACATTCTTGGAACCCAAGAAGCCTTACGAGTAAGGTCAAATGTAGGTTAATGTATTAGTCCTAAACCTCCTTTGTCATACGTATTATAAATGATTTTACGTTTAATTTTTTCAGGTTTACCATTCCATATGAATTAAAAAATTATTTGCTCATATGTTTTGAAAAACGTTTTTCCGGGGGATGGTAGAGACAAAAATAAGTGGGTAAATTGCGAGACCACAAGGGTATTAATGAGGGTGATTTTACCATAAAGTGTCATGGGTATCATTTTCCAAGGCTGGAGGGTTCTATCAATTTTAGTTAATCTATCTTGATAATTGTCTGTAAGTTTATTTATGTCTCCGGTGATCCCAACTCCGAGCATTTTTACCGGTCCATCTGTCCATATGATATGGAGATTGCATGGTAAGGTAAAGTTAGTATTCCTAAAAAGTTCCTATTCTTAGTATTTTGCATTTTTTGTAGTTTGGTACCAATCCAGAAATTTTTGAATAATTATTTAAGTCATTTGTTAGGGCAAAGAGAGATGGTAATGTCGGCTGCAATGGAAAATTTGAGTCGTCTGCAAATTGGGATACCTTAATTGCAACTCTATGCATCGTTAATCCCTCTATTGTGTTGTTTGATCTAAATTTCGTGGCCAGGAGTTCGACACATAATATAAAGAGATACGGCGAAAGCGGGCAACCTTGACGAACTCCACGCAATAGGGAAAGGGGGGCTGAAATATAACCATTGTTTATCACTCTACTTGTAATGTCTTTATAGAAAACAGAAAACCCAGCTAATAAATGATTTTCCAAAACCATAATCTAAAGTCTTAAACATGAAATCCCATCGAAGCTTATCGAAACCTTTTTCAAAATCCGCTATGAAAATCATACCTGGTAATCAGCGTTCCCGCCAGCCCGTGTCATGAGTCAAATATTTTAGGGCCCAGGGGGGGGGGACGAGCGTCGAAGACGCGATACGAGCGCCGCAGCCGCTGGCATTGTAGGGGTTCCGGGGGCATGCTCCCCCGGGAAATTTTGGATTTTTAAACCTCAAATAACACCATTTCCGTTATTTTGAGAGGCAAAATGAGAGTGGTTTTCGGCCTCTCCTTTTACTGACGCCGCCGTATTATCGATACGACCGCACTGTCCACTAAACTTGTTTACTTCTTGGATACGTATTCTAGTCCAATGTTTTCAGCTACATGGCTACCGGCTGAGCTTGGGACGTCTTATATAATGGGAAATAATATTAAAATAATATCGTGGGAAATAATATTAAAACAACAGCAAGTTTTATGTCATTGATACATTACATATGCCAGGTAAAACGTCATGAAATCAAACGGCAATCATTCCATCCAAACTAACATTATTCACTATTTCCATTTTACATCAAAATTACAATTGTCTACATAGTGCTTCAAACACAAGTGCATGTAGTTGAAATAATAACCTAATTCGTTCTTGAATAGGTTGCCTAAATGGGTACGTTTTCCATCAACATAGCCGTCGATGCTTTAAGGCCTTCAACGACAGGACAACCTACAACGGTGCAGTCAGTAGGTGTTCTTTAGACGGGGGAACCCTTGCCATACCCCGGGACAATACTACCAACGAGTTCCTCATCGATCTAAAAAATGGCGTCGACAATAACGCTTGGTTCCGTTTTGGACTGACTGATGTCCACCAAGAGGGAGTTTGGATGTGGGACGATAACGTTCCTCTGGGTGACTTCAGACCTTGGGGTCCAGAAGAGCCCAACAACGGCAACGGTAACGAGGACTGTGCCGAGTACTTTCCCGAAAGCCATTCCAAAAAGAACACATGGAACGATGGACTATGTACCAAGGCTGACAGGAAGTTCATCTGTCAACTCTCTCAATTAGGTAAGTTTAAAAACATGTACATCTTCGTTTGCACTTTTAATTTTTTTTAATAGAAGAGTTGCTTTGCACATTGCTATACATTGTGCCCATTTTTTTTCTCACCTTTTTTTTTTATCAGCATAACTTGTTGGAGATGTTGGATCAAAGACAAAAATCAAAGTTGTTTCTGTCCTCCTGATGGCTGCCCTTTGTTCTTCCGGTTTCTGTATCTTTGTCCTGGACATTCTAGGTTTTTGGGAGTGACATTGTTCCTTATTAAAAAAAAAGTGCCATAAAGCCCAGGTCACTTCGGAGAGAAAAGGCAATCCATTACTTAGTTCAGTACGATGTCTGTTTCCAAATTCGGTTAATGGCGCGCATTTTATACAGCGTAGGATGTTGGTATTTTAATCTTAACATTCATGAAAAATTAAAGCTGTTGTTTTTGGGGTGTTTGTGTGCACGTGTGCGCTCTATGTACTTAAGACCTCATTTTAATATCATAATGACATTTAAATAGACTCTCTATTGACACAACAAAACATACAGGGACTTTTGTATGGTCTCCTACAACTAAAGATCAAACAAAGTATGGACAACGTCATCCTATTTACAGAATACATGTAAGCGGCCAATACATTACGTACAGAATATATGTCAGTTGTATCAATAAAGGTTTAATTATTCTCTAAATTGTAGTCTCTAAGATTGAAACATTATTTAATGTATTTCTCCATTTGAACTCTGCATTGGTTATGTCCCCTCAGAAAGTAATTGAATTTGTCTATAGGATCTAACGTATTGAAATCAATTGAACAAGTGAAAAAAGGAAACAGCATTAGGCACCTATCATTGTGGAGTGTAAAATATATTCTAAAATGGTGTTCATTTTCAAACATTTCCACCAAAATTAACAGAATTATTGGTCATTTCTGGTATCGACCCATTTCTTTGTTCAATTTATGACAAGTTATTCTTATTTTTGTGATCGCTTTGCGGATATCTAGATTGTGTATACTTGAGAGGTATTGCTTTTGTCCATAGTTTTCATTTAACCCTAAACAGTAAACCTGCGGTCCCAGCACTATATATTCTAATAGTTCTTTTTTTTTAAATTTCAGATAATTGTCACCCAAAAAGTTGTCCCTCAGTACGGTGCAAAAAAACTCAGTGCAGAAATTCTTTTGGGGTCCGCTCTGACCCCGGCCAGCTTTCGATCGTAATGGATACACTGGCGTTCTTTTACATTACTTTATTTTCGTTTTCATATGTTTTTGCACTCATCTTATGGCAACCAAATTTTTAGAGAATGATGTACTAATAGAATTAAATTCTAAAAACTTGGTGTAATTCTGACGATGACGTCAGAGCTAATAATATGGTCCGCCATCTTGGATTTTGACCAATGACGTCATCAAATTAGCATATATTATGAATATTAAAGTTTGAACGGCTAGCGCTAGAACGGCCAAACTTGGTGACTTTTCCTAGAATATTGTTGACAACGATTCTCTATTATTGAAATAAGATAATAACTTTGTTACGGTAAATTTATGAATAAAGTACCCACAGAGCTGCAGAAAACGACCTCAAGTCTCTCGACCCCTCCACCTGTGGTATGTTGCGCTTGAATTCTATGGCTTGTTTCAGTTGTTGGTTATATAATTATATTCTAAGAGTGTCAAAATAGATATACTGTTATTTTCAGTCAATGTGTGTTGTAGAAAAATATTCGTGCTATTGGCACTATATTTGATAAGGGGCGATATCATCCATTTTTCTAGTTGTCTGTTCAATCCAAGCTCATCGTAAGTGCTCACAGAACATGTTTAATTCGATTGGTGTTACCGATTATTTAGTATTCTAGTCTAAGACTCCGTTTTCCTTTCGTTTTTCTATATGATTGTCTCGAATTCCCATGTTCCTAGGAACGTACATGAAATGGAGCATAGAACCAGCTGTAACAATAACCTTTTTGCTCTATGTTAGCTTACCTAACCATTCAAGCAAGCACGATTCGGATACTGGATTCTGCTCTCGGAGGAGTGTATTTATTCACAGTGTAACACAATAATAAACAACCACAGCATTGTAACGACAAGATATCCAACCTTTCTTCTACAGTTCCTGACAACTAACAAGAGCCTCAGTTACATTAACAATCGGACATTGCGTTGTGTACTTTTTTATAGACAAATGACTAAGGACTGACTTGTTCAGTTGGAACGGACACAGGACACTCAGAAGTAACTCCGCCTTGTCTCTCTCGTAATCACTGACGACACACGACTCACGACTGCCTTTAAAGCTATCCTAATTATGCGCATAACCGACTCTGACCTTGATTGGTAGACAATGCGGCAGCCCACATATAGGTGTTAACTGGGCTTGTCTAGCCACTTCTTTGTGGTGCATATTAATACTGGCAGACGGGCAAGATGTTTACCGAAGTACAAAGCTGTTGATATACATAATGCATTTTGGCACATAATATATTTTGACACATTATTAGGCTGGCCACCAAGCGTTACACAGCCTTTTATTTATACTTTTCTGTTTTGAAAAAGTGACAGTCAACGCACTTTTTTTTCTTCTTTTTTTCATCGTAAGTGGTCATAGTAGATGTTTGATTTGATTTGCGTTACCGATTAGTTAATATTCTAGTCTGAGACTCCGTTTTTCTTTCGTTTTTCTATAAGATTGTCTCGAATTCCCATATTCCTAGAAACGTACATAAACTGGAGCATAGAACCAGACTTCTATTTATACTTTTCTGTTTTGTCAGTCAACGCATTTTTTTTCTTACAGAATCGCTGCCTGCTCGGGAGACATATGACCAAGGCGACAACGAAAACCCCGAGCAACCAGACAGTGAGGACGGCCAGATCTTTGATTTGATAAAAAGTGAGGAACTGCACATTACATTTATCTAGTATATACCTAATGATTAGAATTTGTCGAGTTTTATCAAATTTTCTCTTATTTCCTACAACGGTGCATGTGAATACACTGGACTCTTCATGCAACATTGCCTCTCAAAATTGCCTCCAAAATTCATGAGATTGCGTTTCAGAGCGTCTAGTTTTTAATTGTTTTTTCAGGGGGAACATGCCCCCGGATCCCCTTCGACGCTTCATATATGGGATGACGGAAAAATTATCAGGCTAGCTGGAGATATGCACTGGAGGCTAGAACCAGACTCCTGTTTCTACTTTCCTGTTCTGAAAAAAGGACTCACATGTTAACTTTATTTCATTCTCTCTGTCTTCTGACTTAAGTGCTGTTTTCTTACAGAGCTGCTGTCTCGTGAGATCGAGGACCAAACCGACAACGACAAGTCCGAGAAGCCAGACAATGTGGACAGCCAGACAGCTCACACCGACCCGGCTCCACCGGCCTTAAGCAAGCGCGGAAATTACTTTTCCGACTGCTCTGAGATCCACACAGCCCAAACTCTGTATCATAAAGTGTCTAGTGGTGTTTACAAAATACAACCTGTGGGTCTGTCCCGCCCGATCTCTGTATACTGTGATCAGACCACAGATGGGGGAGGGTGGACGGTCATACAGAGGAGGTTTGACGGGTCTGTCGACTTTAACCGACCATGGGGCGCCTTTGTGTACGGGTTTGGGTCATCCAATGGGGAGCAGTGGTTGGGTTTGGAGAACATGTACCGTTTGACCAATCAGCACACGTATACACTGTACGTACAGTTGGAAGATTGGAATCGTGTGGTCAAGTACGCAAAGTATTCGTCATTCTCGGTGGGAAGTAGTTCCAACTATCGCCTTTATGTTGGTGGGTACAGTGGGACCGCTGGGGATGGGTTCTACTTATCGTCTTCATCTCATCCTTACTACCTCTACGGTCAGGCCTTCAGTGCTAGGGATGTAGACCGTGATGCATGGTCCGCCGGGTCCTGTGCTGGTGGTAACAGTTACTACTACGCGGGAGCGTGGTGGTACAAGGCCTGCGCTTATTCCGCCCTGAATGGCCCGTACCTGCGCCCCTCTGACCGTACCGGTTACAGTGGCTATGGTATCTCTTGGGGCCCGTTTGGAGGCTCCTATATAGCTATTGGCACTATCTGAAAAAGTCCAAAATGATGGTCCGTCCTGCCAACTTCCGACCATAAGTTGCCAGACACTAACCCAGCTGACAGGTCGAGGATTCAAATTGTTTGATAAAAACCATAATCCAGCACTCACTCTGTATCCATTTTCTTTAAATAGGTCAAATCTTTCAAGTTACTTATTTGGTTGTCTCGGACTCTGGATACAGGAAATTTACACATACATACATACATACATACACGCATGCATACATACATACATAGTTTACATACATACATACATACATACATACATACATAATACTCGGAGAGTTGAAGCATCTAAATAGTTCAGCTTCCAGCGTTTTCTATCGTACATCATTTCCGTAATAAGTTCTTTTCCATACCAGTCTCTAACCCAATAATGTCATTTAGTGTAGACTGTAGAGTTTGGACGGCCTCTTCTCATCTTCGCTTCCGGAGACAAAAAGCAGTTTCCACCCGGTTCGCCATACCGAGTAATATGGCCGGCTAGGCTTAAACTACGGCGCTTAACTACTGTAGAGATTGGTGGAAGGGAGCCGTAGAGTTGTTTATTATTTGTAAATTTCCACCAAGGTTTGTTCTGTATGAACTGTAGCTTCTTTGATAAAGGTACCATCCAGTTTTCTGACCTGTGAAGCATTCATACTCCACGACTCGCAGCCGTATAACAAAATTGAAACAACACAAGCTTGAAACATTGGTTTTTGTTTCCTCACTAACCCGTGATTTTCAGACTCTTTGTAGAGAATGTATGGTACTCCATATCTGCCCAATTCTAACCTCCATTTCCTGTTTGAAATCTGTATATCCCCCAAATATATAAAGTCAGTGGCCCTTTCAATTGTAGATTCGTCAGATGCACAGAGCTGTTCCGAGGATAAAAAATGAATGCTTTTGACAAAATGTTTATACATATACACACAGCAAAAGTTCAGCTATGCTGGGGAGCTTTCGAGACGTACTCTGTCTCTTCATCAACCCGATTCAGATCTCGTCTTGGAGTTCTCTTGTCACGTGACTTGATGGGATATTCACGTGACAAGAGACAGTCATATACAGATTTTAAAATAAATGAATTTAGTTTTTGATGCATTGAGATACAGCACAATGGCTTGACATGCAGTTTCGACTCTGTAGAGCAGGTCTTGTACAAGTTGTATTGTGTTCT